CCTTTTCACTCAATGAAAGTACACACTGCCCGACGAAGGGATTGAACTCACAACAAATATGTCACCAAATTCACAAACCACTTTTATCCACTAGGCCATTGTCCCGTAGGCATGAGCGGTGCAATATGAACAGTCTACTTCTGTAGATTAAATAAAGGGTCCAGTTCAGAATTTTTGTAGGTTATCCAGCTCAACGGCCGTAATGTTGTCATAACAACAAAGAAGAGGACAATAGTCCAAATATAAATAGTGTAAATAATTATATTTTTATAGAGTAATAATTACAATGATCTTTGTCATCTTTATTATAATAATTATTATTAATCGTTGGTTACGGATGGAAACGACTTATCGGAAAATATAAATTTTATGTGACAGATATTAATTTATCTTGATAGAAATCTTGGTTTCAAACAAATTCACTATAGAAAGCAAAAAAGAGCACAGATGTCAACAACTGGATCGAGTCCAAATGAACACTTTGATAGATTTACAAAAAAGTAGAACATCAATCACAATCGCCAAGTCTAACCAAACATGACTGTGGCAGCCTCGGCTTCTCAGTTAATCGCAACAACAACAAAAAAAAAAGAAAAAAGGAGGGGGTGATGAAAAGTTATTGATCCGAGCAAGAGGCCTTTCCAAAAAAAAAGAAAAAAAAAATCTTTTTGGTAATTTGGTCAGATTTTTAAAAAGTGGGTTGGCTCGTGAAATTTTCAACCCCTCATCGCATTCGTTTACCTATCAACACGCCAATATACGTCTACTGAATTATGAGACAACAACTACAATTTAAAAAGCCCCCCCCCCAGTTAAAAGTTACCTCAAAACGTACATCAGATATGTGAGTGGTCTGACTGTGTTGATTATTTTAATCAACACAGCCAGGAAGAAAGAACATGCATCATCAGAGATATTGCATGTCCCGTAAACAACACAGCTTTTGTCTTAACTCGAATAATTCTAGACACAGATGTTTAATATTTTCCTCCTTTTTGTTTAATATTTTCCTCCTTTTTTTTTCTAACACAACATTGCGATTGTTTAACTTGTCTATATTAATTCTACTATTAAAAATAGCAGAAGAAATTGTAGATTTCACAGACGTTAAGTTTTATAATTCATCAGTGAAAATGTTTCACGATTTGAACAATATATATTAGAACATAAATATTCAAGTTGTAAATGTAATTTGCAAGAAAGATTCACTTTCATCTGAATAAAATTCTGTTTCTTTTATGATAAAAAAGAAAAAAGTGAAATAATTCATAAATTCATTATCTAATCAGTTGAAAATTCAAATTAAAACAATTAATCTTCAGGTCCTGTTTATATTTAAATCTTTCTCAAATATGAGTCAACTTTGAATTTAAGCTATTTGCCCGTGGGTAATATGTAATCTCCTAACAAAAAATGTTTATCCCCGAGACGTCACCTTGTACTGACTTTCTGATAATGATAATAATAATAATAATAATAATAATCCTATTATAATTGTGTATGTTCCTCCTTTCGTTAGTTGGCACGACCGTTACGCCCTGCCGATATCTCATACATAATGTACTATTCAGTTTTGATCGTGCGGAATGAGGGTAAAAGACACAACTTGGTTTCAGTGAGAAAATGAAAGAAAGAAAGAAAGAAAGAAAGAAAAAGAAGACAGAAAGAGAAGACAGAAAGAAAGAAGCGAAGATAGAAGTAAAGAAAGATAATCAGATTAAGCTGATAAAAGCAAATACAACACTTTGATATCGGCCAGAAGGGTTAGAAGCGATTGTATTTTCTCGCCGCCCGACGCTAGCAGGATGTAATACAAGGTCAGTTTAATGCGTGGAGCCAGAGCGCTTGCGACTGAGTCAGGCCCCAAAATAACCCAACCACCACAACGGTTGCTTGCGCCCCTCTTTAGTGCCATGAAGAAGGTACTGCGGCGGCCAGCTGTTTCCCGAGACCAGGTATCTCTCAATAATATTTTCAGTTGTGCTCAACAGAGATAGAGACACAACTGAAAGATGAAATGTAATTTATCCGACCGATGGCAGATGCTACACTTTGATCCCAGCCAAAAGGCCGAGAACAGGCGACCGCCATAAAAGTGCCATTTTTCAGACGCACAGAATCGAACAACGGAAATCGAGTAAGGCAATCGCCAAAAACCTGGTTACCATAAATAAAATAACATCGTCTGCTGAATCATTTTTAAATTATTAAGACGGGGATTTGGCTAATAATAATAATAATAATAATAATAATAATAATAATGTAACTAAAGAAAGGAGCCCAGACATCATTACCATTCAGAAGGAAGACACACGGCATTCAAACATCGACATAGCGGAATCCGGGGACGTAAGGGCAGTTGAGAAAAAAAGTGGGGGACATGAAATAGCACGCTTGTGGAGGCTTAAGAATGTAGTCGTGTTGTTTCGGGCGCCTTTGGAACTGTAACAGAGAAAATCCAAAAATTGTTGAGTAAAATTGAGGTGCTGCAGAAAACTTGGGACCAAAAAAAAAACATCACTGCTTGGGACAAAGTCTGAGAAAGTTTTTGTTAATGTAGGAGAAATGACAGGACCCAGGTTTACATGTTATGACCTGCTCCTGATCGTTAAATTACGACATCAAATAATAATAATAATAATAATAATAGAGAGTGCCCAGTAAAAAAAGCGGAAAATTCAGAAAGAAATTTATTTAACTATCTTGATTCATGCACACACTAAGCAATCATCGGAGATGTTTGAAATATTTGCCTGTATTTTCAACGCAAAGTTTTAAGCGTGGTAACAAGGAGGCGGTAGGTTTATTCAACGTATGAATATTCAAGAAATGTATTCAAATTTATTCAATGTCATTTATTTCTGAAAGATAAAACAATGATAATAAATTTGCCGCTTTTTTAGTGGGCGCCCTGTAATAGTATGAATCGGAGAGGTCAGAAACGTGGGATCGACAGACTCCTGGAAATATAACTGAAAATGACAAATACAAAATATTATGGAATGTCATGATCCCGTGTGACCAAAAAGAAAACAGAAAACCAGAAAGGTGGTATATAAGGAAGAAAGAACATGCATCATCAGAGATATTGCATGTTCCGTAGACAATAGAGTAGTTAACAAAGAAGAAAAACAGGAAAACTATTATAGATTAAAATGGGGAGTGCACAAATTGACGTCAATGAAGAGAATGTAAATTATCTCCACTGCTGAACTCACGAAATGGCGGGTGAAGATTGTGTTCAATGTCAAGTGAGCACAAAAAGACTGTTCACATATTCTAAAGCAGAGTTTCTCAAACTTTTTTTACTTAAAGAGCGCACTTCTAGAATAACTAAAACTCTGAGGCGTAATTTAATTTTTAATAAGGAAAAATTAGTCATGATTTTTTGGGGGGAGGGGGGGTTAGAAGATTAGCGGTACAGTTTTCATTTAAAGGGATTTATGAAGAATTTACTATTGTTTTTAGAGGCTGATGGCTGATTTAAATCCCTTGAGGAAGGCAAAAGGGGAAGGATTATCCACTCCTCCATAAAGATTAAGGAATTTAGCATCCAGTTTAAAATATCAAATGACAAAGACTTAAACATGGAAGCCATGTGCATGATGTCTCTAGCGTTTTAAAAAGATTTTTTTTAACATCTGTCTATATTCTAACTGTTTATACTATTTATATTATTCGGTCTGATGTCCTCATCTTTACTGCCATATTCATGACGTTTCGGCCGTTGTACGCTCTGGTCTTCTTCAGGTGATATACTTTTGAATTTCGAACCGAACCCTTTATTTAGTTCCATGCCTTTTGTGGATATCTCAGTTTCCGATTCGAAATTCCAACGTATGTTACCTGAAGATGGCCGGAGTGTACAACGGCCGAAAATCGCGAATATGACAATAAAGATGAGGACAAGAGACCGAACAATGTAAATAGTGCAAAAAAAACCCATTTAAATATAAAAATAATTCATAAATTACACTTCTGTTAACAGCCCCTGGATAGCGTTCAAAGCGCGTTAGTACTCCTAAGACCACCGGTTGAGAAACGCTGATCTGAAGAGTTCTCAAACCATAATGAAAATATGCACTGATTGTGAATAGCCTGGTTCTTTAGTTCCAACTCTCGCAAAATTTGCTGCGTTTTCAGATATAATAAATAAATACATATTCTTCATTTATGCTTTATGTTGCAATAGTAAATAAAGTATCCTGCAGCAATTAGAACTTACGTTACTGCAATATATTTGATATCCAGCATTTTTGCATTACTTTTTATTCTTTATACACAGTAAAGGTCATTTGAGAATCTGAAGAATGCATCATTTCCATTAAAAATAAAAACAAATCTAATTTCCTGACATACAAAACAAATTAAATCAACCTATGTCGGTATGTTTAATTAACAGTAATTTTAATAATTCAATATTAGACTGTAATTTCATTATTGACAAAAAAACATACATTTTCAATATTTTCATGATTTAAATATATAAATCTGGATTGAAAGTTAAGAAAAAAATATTGCCTTCAAAATAGAATATGGGAAAAGCAGTTGCATGTTGAACAAAAATTTAAGCGTTCACATTTCGGCATTTTAAGTTAGCATCTTCAAAACACAAAGGAAGATTCTAAGGAAAAGTTGCTAAAATGGCAACCCTGCTATATAAAACACTACGGTCAATTTGAAATATTCTAACAGTTGGTAGAAAATTTTAAAAATGGATTGCTGATTGATTGATTCGTTTTCTATGGCTTATCAATCATTTGCCGGTTATTTAAAGCCAGAAAATATTTTTAGATTGTAAGAATTTTTTGTTTTTGTTGGAGGAAATAGTGATTTAGTGATAAAAGTCTTACTAATTAACCCAAGCTGGGGGAGAAGATATAGATTCACACCTTTCCCTAGGGTATTTGGGCGTAAGTGAATATAACGAATCCAACTGGAATTCGAACTCCGATTAATGCTCCCGAGCCATTATCAATTACACCACCCGCACATCTAAGCTTACAGCAGCTGGTATTTCCAAGTAATCAACCATCTAGGTACTGACCAGGTTCGACGTTGCTTAACTTCGAAGATCGTACAGAAACCGGTGTTTCAACATGATGTGACCGTAAGCCTAATTTTGTTCACGGATATTTCAAATTCTCTGTCACTGCTTTTTTATCATTTCACCCCAAGTAAGGTGGTAATGCCACTAATATGCAATGGGGTTACTGGGAATAAAATAGAATGAGAAGACTAAGAGAAGGAACCGGAAACCCAATCCTAATCAGGAAACAAGGGCTAAACCTCTACTCCAATTCAAAAGACAGGAGGAGTGTGAACTGGGCGACAGGCGAACTTATCTACTCGTATTGAAAGAAAAGTAGTAGATACGTTTGCCTACCGTTCGGTTCACACTCCCCGCCTCCGGTCTTTTGAACAGGAGTAGAGGTTTATCCCTTGTTTTCTGTTTGGGATCGTGGTTCTTTCTAAACTCTCTACTTCTAACGTCTCTGCCTAAACTCTTAAGTTTATACTATTATTTTTCCTCCTCTTTCACTTCCCGAAGCCCCTTGCGTCTTGCGCTATCGCCTTGCTCGGGGCGAATTGATAAAAAATAAAGGAAAGAGTAAAAAATATGAATATTTTTACACCACCTTTAAAAAAAAAAATATTGTATGCTAATAATAGACTAGACGTTATGGCTTGTGCACCTTTACAAAAGATTCTTCATGTGGAATCCAGATCATTTTTTTAATAGAATAAATACATCGTAAAGTGTTTTTATTTGTACTAAATAAATAATAAATGTTTTATTGGTTTCCAGTGGCAGATAAAATAAAAATCAACCATTTGTATTTAATTTGCATTTATGACACTATGAAGTCTATACAAAGAAAATTTATCCAAATTTAGAAAGAATTGTCAAAAATAAAAAAAATAAGGATAGCATTATAATAAAAGAATAAAAATAATTTGAGGAGGACCATGATCGCTGATGTCCTAAAGAGACATGACGTTTTTAGAAAAATGTAAAGGGGTTGTTCTAGTGGATGCATTACTGTGATAAGCTGTTTTGCGTGAACTCGTTCTTCATTAAGTCGTCAGGAATATGACGTTGTAGAAGGGCTATAAAGGAGAGGAAATTGTGGAGAGCTATGATCGTCCACGTCCCGGAGGAAGACGACGCATTGAAGAAGCAGAGTTTGTTTATCCAGATTCCGAGATTTCTCACACCGTTGAAGGTACCCCGCCCCTGGGGCCGTACTCAACACGCTTGGCCAACTGCGAGTTGATTGAAGGTATTTAAAACATAGTTGAAGGCTTCCAATTCAGAAATGTCCTTGCCACTAAAGGCTATAAGTCACAGTCTGTCCCGATATTTACCCAGGAGGAGAAGAGATGCGTTCATGCCTTTCCCCAACGGTATTTATACGTAAGTGAATGTAAATAATTCGACTGGAATCCGAACACAGCTCTCCAATTCCTCAATCCGATCCATTATCCATTACTCCACCATGCTTCATATATCCAGATTAGCTTAGATGTGGCACAAGGCCAAAGATATGGGGCACCCAGTGAGGATGGAACTCACTACTCAGTCGTAATTGATCTAGCAAGACAAGCTTTCTAACCATCACACACGTCCAGGTGCCCTATCCGTCTTTTATATAGTGATTTTCCAGGCGTTGCTTAGGTGTGACACAAGGCCGAAGATATGGGGCACCCAGTGAGGATCGAACTCACTACTCAGTCATAAGTTCTAGCAAGACAAGCTTGCTAACCATTATACCGCCTCGAGGTGCCCTATCTTTTATATATATTTGTAATAAGGGAAATACTCACTGCTCGAATTCAACGTAAGAAAACTGTTATGTCAGAATTTTTTTTTTTGTTTGCTTAACGGAATATCAACTCCTTATGGGTCATTTTATGCCGAAATTTAATTTTCTTGGGAGTATTAGTAATTTCTTTTACAAAAAAGGTAATGCTGGTAATTCTTTTTTAAAAAATGTATTGCTGGTAATACTTTTCTAACAAAAACGTATTGCTGGTATTTTTATTTTTATTTTTATTTTTTTTACTATGAAAATGTATTGCTGGTACCTTCACTATAAAAATATATTTCTTCAATTTCTTCATAGTGTTTTGACCCCAGTTTAGACGTTAAATATTTGTCTATAGCTAGGACCCTAACAGGTGCTACCATTCCGGGTCAGGGTGGACCTGGGAACCACAGAAATTAAGAGCTGGTTCCACGTTCCTCAAACTCCCGATCCTTGCTGCCGGATGTAGAGAAATTTCTTTCTTGTGCTATAAAGAATAACTCTGTAGTTTGACGTAGTCGTTAGCTGGATTTGAGTTCGACATTTTCACAGCAAAACAGATGTTCGATCTATGGGATTAGTGGAGAAGTGTTGGGTAAGGAAGGAGATTATGTTGAAAAAAAGGTACTTGTTGGGAAGAATGAATACTATTTTCCCTTATTAGCCTACGAACGAATTGATGTATTTACGTAGAATTTCAACACGTCTGAGAAATAACGACATGGCCTTGATCATCGAACACACGTCATCCATTCTTCCAAGGCCACAATCAGATAATCGAGCTTCCCTCCCTCCCTCCCTCTTATATATAGAGATATATGTGCGCGCGCGCGTGTGTGTGTATGTGTGCGCGCGCATGCGCGTTATTGATTGGTTGATTGAGTAAATGATTGAATGATCTCGATTTTTGTTTTGTTTCTTTTTTCTCATTTTCTAATCATCTTCCTTGTTCTGTTTCCTACCTATTTTTTCATCTTCTTTTAATCACTTTAATGTCTTCAAATCATTCCCCCCCTCAACTTCTCCACTTCTTAACACATATCTTTATAATTAAATTTGAGCAATTTCTGCATCCTTTTTCCTTTTTATAATCGCAGCGTTTTAGTATCAATCCATTCTTTGGCCTTAGCCTAGTTAGTTAAGGCGTCATCGTCTCTTTTGGAAGCAAAAATAAGCACGTTTATCTCTGCTATAATTTCATCGCGAGATTCATGGCTGAAGAATATATCGCCTAAGAAAGGTAGTAATTAAAAAATGGAGTTAAAATTAATTATCAAAAGGTATTTGAGATGAAAGCTATTTCATTTTAGAATCTAAAAAAATAGCGTAAATATATTATGCTAAATATCTCCATTGTTTAAAATCTTATCAGTTATGACGTCATAGACCTATTCAGAGAGACAATTGTCCGTGCCCGGTGGGGATAAAAATATATTAGTAACAGACAATTATACAATAAAGATCTTTACTTAGCTCATTTAAATCCAAGTCTTAAGTTACGTAGATTAAGATAGCAATATGTGTAAATTCAGGAGTGTAAATAAATAAAAAGGAAGGTTCTGCAATGTTATTCGTCCTGACCTGGAATCTCGACTTAGCTTCCCTGTGCTTTTTATGGCAATTGTTCTGATGAACTTTCCTTTATGATAAGTAAGAATGTGTTTTTTTGGTGTAAGGAATACTGTGGTATGTTTTAGATCGTTAATTGTGACTAGATAAGTTAAGACAGATTGAGGACGACCGTTCCGCTAATCCCTCTTTTGGCCTTGTGCGACATTTGTGTATTATTCAAAATAAATATTACTTTCCTCTACGTATAAAAAAGTTGAAACCATTTTAAATATTCATTAAGGTTTCATTTTTAAAAGTTGTTATTTTATTCTTCACCTCACAGACAAATTGTACATATGGCGACGAGTTAAGATTTCATAGAGACTCTGAGGTATTGTGATAGCTGCAGTAAGAATAGTAAAAATGTGTTCTCTTGGTGTAAGGAATACTGTGGTATGTTTGGAACAGTAATAAGTTTAATTATAAGACAGATGAAGACCGCCTTTCCTCGTCTCCACTTTTGGGCCTTGTGCCACATTTTTTATTGTATAAAATAATTATCATTCTCCTTTATGGTACCTAGATTTTATGAATTTAAGCGAAATACTCGATTGGCGGCAATGTCTCATCATTTTACAATTGAAATGGCTAGATGTAACCGTAAGTTCTATGCTAACAGTTTCTTCTCTCGCACTTCTCGCTTGTGGTAATTGATAAAAATGCAAAGAAGAATCTGCAATGTTATTAATTTAGCATCTCGGCTTCAGTCACTTTCCCACCACCGTAAACGTACCTTCCCTGTGTTTTTTCTATAAATATTTTCAGGGTAATTGTTCTGACGAGGTCTCATCGTTCTACAGTTGAAACGGCTAGATGTAACCCTAAGTTCTATGCTAACAATTTCTTATATCGCACCGTGGAAATTTCTTCCGGCTTCTTGCTTTACAGTCAAGTTTGATCTTCAAAAATTTAAATGCGACATCAAACGTTATCTTCTGTCTTCTTAATTTCTGTTCTTTTATCTTTTTTTTTTTTTTTTTCGCTCTTTAATAATGATTCTCTCTCTCTATTCATTCACACTCAGTAACCCCCCGGGTCTTATTGCTTTCCCCTAAATGTTTACTATTTAATGTTTATGTATTTATTTATTTTGGTGTTTTTACTAATTTTGAGGGATAAGATGAAAATGAATTAATCGATCTTAAAGGCTGTGCGCATAGTGGAATTACAAAATGGAACTGGCGTGCGGAGTTCAAATTCCAGCCGAGTTCGTTGCGTTCAATTTCACGCAAATACCCTTGGAAACTCTATAAATCCAACTCTGCTACCCCCGGCTGTAGGTTAAATAGACTAGCCTCTCTATCTTTGGTTAGACAACTGAAATCAAAACCGGTTGGGCGTTGTGCTGGTAACTCCACCCTGTAAAACCTTACTTTCTTCGGAAACTAAAGGTGATGCTGTGGTCCTATTCATCACAGGAGGAGTCGAATAGCGCTAATGAGGAGAGTGGGATTCAGGGGAGAAATGTCGTAAAAACACAATTTTTACTGTCACTGATTTCTCTCCTTTTCTGGGCAACTTCTTTGATCAATTAGAAATCGTGTACTCACTGCGCTCCAATTTCATATTTGTTTATGTGTTTTCATTATGTATCGATTCATTTTCTTTTAATTGATTTAAATATTAAAACCTATTAGTGTTCACTGTTCTAATAAACGTGGATGTGAGGGTGGGGTAATGAATAACGGCTCGGA